AAAAGGAGGAGGAGGAAGAGGAGGAGGAGGAGAAGAAGAAGAGGGGAAAAGGAGGAGGAGGAGAGGAGAAGAAGAAGACGAAAGGAGGAGGAGGGGAAGAAGAAGAAGAAGAAGAGGAAGGAGGAGGTGGAGGCGGCTTCACCCTGATAGCACTAGCAGCTTCACGGGCAGCCACGACGTGGATTGGTTCTTGACCGGGCAGCTCAACTGGGAGCGACGATGGCAGCTCAACGAGGAGGAGCAGTGACGACCGCGGGCTTGGAGACGGCAGCTACGATGGGCGGGCTTGGTGACGGCAGCTTCGCAATGGAGAATGCCACGTTCGAATTCGAACACGGCGTGGTAGGCCATCATGGAGGGAAACGAGGTCGTTTCTTGCGCCTGATCGCAGCCGCCGGTCTTCGCAGGTCTGGTGCTGAGATCAGTCGCTGAAGAAGCCCTTTCCCTGGCCTCACTTGGGCCTGAGTTCGAAACAAAACTCCCCCCCCCCCCCGTGCAAAATTGCACTGGGCCCGCCCGGCGCCAAACCGGGGGACCCAACTGGCCGGGCCGCCCGGGACCCCTGCCGGACGAAGGCTGGGCCGCCAGGCGGCCCGGATTTTAACATAGGAAAAACATACAAATTTGTCATAAATTTGAAATAAAACTGATTGTTTTTTTTTTTTTTCTTTTTTTTTTTTTTTTTTTTGTGTGTGTGTGTGTGTGTGTGTGTGAGTCGGGCAGATGGATAGAAGTAAGAGGGAGGGAGAGACCAGGCTGTCATACTCAGAGCATGAGCAAAAAAGAAGGCAAATGCACAGGGTGTGGTCCCTGTTCTCTGAAGTTTCTAGATGTTGAGAATATGTGTACTACATGTTAGGGCCATTCTGAATTGGCATGTTTGATTATCTTTCCAATTTTGGCAACTTGTTGTCTTGCAGGCCTTAGGCAAGCTGGAAAGGCAGGAGATTCAGGCTATTGTGGATCCTCGTCTCTCAGATTACAATTTTGTGGAACTGCAAGGAATACTAGAGGTATATCACGTACAGTCTACCATTGTGGTACATTTTTTGAAGTTTTTCTGACTTTTTTGCTCATAATTGTTGTTTCCTTAACAGCGTCTGTTGTTCAGAGTCGATCTGGTCGTACACAGACCCTGAACACAAAAGCAAAAAAACAAGAAAAGAAAACAAAAAAAAAAAAACAGTAAGGAGAGGGATTGACAGAGTGGATAAACAGATTCAGTGGGTTGCAATAAACCCGCTCGTTATGCCCTATTGTTGCCCGAAGGGCACAGGCAGGCCGCGACCCCGGCCTGTGCACCTGACAGTTGGCTTTGGTCAACTGCCCAGCAGCCCCTGAGTCAAAGTCTGCATGGACCCAGCCCAGGCCGACGGTCAGACACACACACTTGTTTGTATGCAGGTACGAAAACAGCATCCGGACCAAGTGGAGGTCTGCAACAGTATGAGATCCGGGCCATCGGCTGTGAGTCAATCCGAGCCACTGTGGGTGGGAGCCCTGAGGCAGGTCAACCTTGTCAAATGCTACATAAGGCCCTGCCTCCAGGGAGTCAACATTCAGTCTTGCTATGCTGACTTGACGCTGGCTTGACACTGGCTAGACGCTGGCTTGATGCTGGCTGGACGCTGGCTTGACGCTGGCTGGACGCTTGCTATACGCTGGCTGTGGACGACGACGCAAGACTGCTGCTTGCTTGCTGGCGCCTTCCTGTCTAGGCGTCGGCCTCTGTTGACGTGGTGCAAGCCACACTGTCTTTGACATTGCCGACGTGGCTCATGCCACCCTGTCTCTATTGCTGACGTGGCATCTGCCACGCTGTCTTCATTGCTGAGTTGGACGTGACAAGGAGGGAGATCGGGATCTGTGGATGATTGAGAGATAGAGATCATACTTACCTGCTGTTGATGTCGATACTGTGTGCTGCTGAACGTCTTCACGGGAGAATTGTGCCACATGGCACTTTGATGTGATCAGGCCCTGTCAGGCTTGTTATTGGACACTGTTTGCTGACGTGGAGGCGAGGGGAAGCCCGGAGAAGGAGAGGAAAATGCTGGGCTACTATCTCTGTGGTCATTGATGGATACTTACTCTTCCACCCTCTAAATTGTCCATTCTGGCATTCTCCCTCTCACCTCTTCGTCCATCGGTTACAAGACATTGTATCTCAGATCACATTCATGATTATTGGAGACATTATTCAGCGCTGAGTTATCTTGTACTTCGACATCTGACGAGTGTTCCTCCAGACTGGGTTCATTACAGGGTAAGTGGGGACTTGATAAAGAGGGGGAGACAGACGGGATACAGGGTAAGTGGGGACTTGATAAAGAGGGGGAGACAGACGGGATACAGGGTAAGTGGGGACTTGGTAAAGAGGGGGAGACAGACGGGATAAACAAGGGAGTACCTGACCCTGATGACTGAATCGCAGTTGAAAATGATTGTTGATGAATAGATTCAGTGCTAGAATCCTTCTGGAGATAATATGGTTAGGGGCTACCCCCTCTCAAATCGAGCAAGAACCGGAAAAGTGACAATAAATTTTGGTCAACTTCGATTGAGAGGCCTTAGGAAATGGGGCGCTGGGGACTTTGGAGCGCAACACACTTAGGTGCTATTGGCAGGTCGGAACAGGGGCGGGACAGCCCGCGAGTTCACTGTCGGAGGTTCACTCGGCAGACGGTGCGTCAGAAGTGCAGGCGATTAGCATAGCTACACATTGCTTAATGATCCCCTAGGGGGTTGAGTAGGGGGGATCGCCCACTAGGCTAAGTTAGGCAGGGGTGAGGGGTGGTATATCCTTCCTGCAGGAAGTAATCAGTGCCGCCTACTTGTATCTCCCAACCATAATGGGGAGAAGCGTTGTGTGTGTAAATCTTGTATCTTTTGAATTGGACTGCTGCTCCCCAGAATGGATAAGGAGCCCGAACCACAGGGTTCTTTTTGTAATAACCCGCTCAAAATGTGCTATTGACGTCGGCTAGGGGCCGCCCAAAGGCCACAGTAAGGCCCTGCGCCCGACAGTCGACTGAAGAAAGTGTCAACTGTAGCTCGGAAATTGAGGCTCACAAGTCAAAATCTGCACGGACCCAGTCCAGGCCACGGATCAGACACACACATTTGGATGTACGCAGGTATCCAGGCAAAATCTGGTCCAAGTAGAAGTCTGCAACTGTATAAGATCCAGGCCATTGATTGCGAGTCAATCTGAGCCCTTGTGTCCAGTAGACCAGAGGCTGGTCAACTTGCAACTACACTACTTATCGACTCAGCCTTTGCTCATCGACATTCAGTCTTGCACTTGCTGCTCGACGCTGGCACGGCGCTGGCTGGATGCTGGCTTGACGCTGGCACTACGCTGGCATTGTGTGTGACGATGATGTGAGACTGCTGCATTGTGTTGCTGGCGCCTCTCTGTTCTCGGCGCCAGCTGGGGACTTGATTGCTGACGTGGCTCTTGCCACATTGACTTCGACACAAGATTGGGGTATCGACGAGGAGGGAGATCAGGGCTGTGAGATTGGTTGTGAAACAGAGGGAAGCTTACCTGATTATTGTAGTCGACATTGCGCACTGCCGTGCTGTCTTCATGGTAGATCTGTGCCTATGTGGCACTGTGTTGTGATCGATTCTCGCCAGGCTCGTCTTTGGGATACTTTGCGCTGAATGGACAGAGGGGAGATGCCCAAAGGAGGAGTGGGACGTGAGGGAGATCTATCTTCGATGCCATTGATGGATACTTTCTCTTCCACCCTCTAAGTCTAATGTCCCTCCTATCAGCGCTTCGTCCCTTGGTTACGAGACAATGTACTTCGGATCACATTCATGATTATTTAAGACATTGACTTGCGCTGAGACATCTTGTACTTCGACGTGAAGAGCTTTCCAATTGACTGGGTTCATTACTATTTTTTTTCTAGGGAAAAAAAGAAGGTAAGGGGTGTACATGGAGCCAAGGATCCACAATGTGATGAAAAGGACTGAATGGACAGTGCAATGTCAGTGAAACATCAACAGGCAATGTACACCCTGATACATACAAAATGGCACAAAGTAGCGCAGTGGAAGACTTAAAGATAAGTCCTGACCTGACCGGGACTGACGAGACATCCCATCATTCACCACACATATGAGAGGAGGAGGAGGGACCGCACACATAGAAGAAAGGTCCCCCCTTTGTACACGCACATGGGGAGATACCACAGATGAGAGATGGGGGGAGAGGCAAGACGAAGATGGAGGCGAGGGAGAAGACCAAGATCGAATAGCGAAGTCCAAAAATAGCCCCTTGCCGATGCCCAATCAATGTCTGCCTCGAAAGTGTTGGACCTGGGTGCTCTGCCCACAGTAACCTCTGCCTGTTTCCTCTGCCTGTAACCTCTCTCTCTCTCGTATCTGAAGAAGAAGAAGAAAGAGGAAGGAGGGAGAATTCTTTCGCCTTTTACTAAAGAATACCGTGGGTTGAGCACACACAAGCAGCTTATCGAAATTTTTGTCGGCTGCTCCATCCGTTGAGCAGCCAAAAGAAAGAAGAAGATGTCGGCTTCCTGGCTGTCTCACCTGCAGCTGCTACCGCCGAACTGACTGCTGCCTTGTTGTCGTCGTGTGCAAGTCGCGGCGCACGGGGAGTCCCCCAACGCATGTATGGCCTTCGCCCCTCTGACTCCTGATGCTCAGCCCCCAACTCGGTAGCGCAGCGCAGAACCAGTAGTGTGTCGCTCAAGAAATGAGCTGCTGAACTGTTTTTGGCCAGCCTCAGCCCAGCTATAAGTAGAGCTGGGCCTGCTGGGCGCGCTTCAGGTACTGGCCTCAAAACGGCCTCCTTGGTCTGGGCCCCTACCAGGTATCCAGACCGCGCTGCTGATGGAGCGAGGCGCCAAAACGCGCCTGGCCTGAAAACGGCCTCGTCCCTGTGTACCTGGCCCAAGGCGTCGCCTTGGGACCTGCAGTCCGAAACGACGTCTGAACAGACAAATAAAGGACAGCACATCACAAAATAAATAAATTAATAAATAAATAAATGAGTGCTGCCTCACTGGAACTTGCGGCTTGTAGGGCTGCCCTGGGCCTCCATGGCGCGTTGTCGGAGGGCGCGGTGCCCTGGCCCTCCTCTGTGTGCCAGGCTCCTGCTCAATGTCAGCTCATCGCTCTGACACCCTCGGCTAGTAGGGTAGTCCCCGAACCTCCACGGTCCACTGAGTATGTCGGGCTATACCCGGCTATGGACTGGTCCAGCTGGCGCCTGCCTCAGCAAAAGGGTGCGCCACTGGACTTTCCATTGGTCCACGCAGGCTCGGCGCCCTGCTGTACAGCAGAGCACTACCGGCCTGTAGCCGTGGTAGCCGTGGTAGCCGCCGGGCTCGCCCAGGGATGCGAAATCAGGAGGACCGGCGCGACCTTTTTCTATTGCGCGCCGAGTGCCCCCTAACCAGGTTATGGGTTAGGTACATGGACTCGCTGTTACAGTCGAACAGAAAAGGGGTTAAAGAAAGAAAGAAAGAAAAAGAAAAGGGGGACAAGAAAAAAAAAAGGAAATCGAGTGTCGGACCTGCGCGCAGATCTGGACCCTCGTTTTAGTCTGGGACGATTTAGTAACCTCTGACCGCGGCGGCGTTATGATTTCTCTTCTTTCCTTATTTTGTTGTTATTATTATTATTATTATTATTATTATTATTATTATTATTGCCAATCTTCTTATTTAAATTTTCCTTCTGTCACTTGAGTGGCCCGACTTTTCACTTTGCTCCAATGGCTGAAAGGTTCGATCAAGCGCGGCGCGGCAGCCCCAAAAGAGGGGCAACCCGCGACCGCATTGGTAGGAGGCTTATCACCCTCCCGTGGAAGGTCATAAGCCCCCTCCTTGCCATCGGACACGGGTACCCGCTAGCTGTAACCCGACAATTCCCTTTGAGTAGAAACATTACTGGTTGGTATCCCGTTATGGGACCACCGTTTTAGGCCTGTAGTCACGTCACTTGGGTTAGTGATTGACAGTAGCCCGGTGTGTCT